ATGGTCAGGCAGCTTGATTGGGAAACAGCATAAGCAAAGGAGTGATGGGGGCAGACCACAGAGGGGCAGGCCTGGTTGGAAGGCCTCGTGGGGCCTCTTAAGGAGGTTGTTTTGAAGAAATACATCTGGCTGCGGGGTAGAGGAAGGGTTGGAAGCAGGGAGGTCAGTTCGGTGTTGCTTACTCTGGGCAAGAGATGTTGGTGGCTCCGACCAGGTGGTAGCAACAGAGACAGACAAATATATAGTGAAGTCGAGCTCACAGGACCTGCTGATGGATTGGAGTGGGGGTGAGGGAAAGGACGCTGTAATCATGTCAAATGCTACGAAAGGTTGAATAAGATGAGCCGATAAAAGTGACCTTGCTCATTGTAGTAGTATTGTCCATGTGGCAATAGTGGGAACATGAGGTTGGAGAAAGAGGATGGTGGAAAAGAATGGCTATAAAGACTTTGGGAATGAATGAACCTGGCCTCACACAGAGGACACAAGGGTACTGAGCCACTGACAAAGCCAGGCTGATAACCTGTGAGGCCAGGTACCTCTCAGAATGTTACTGCCAAGGGTTTTAAAAAAAGAGGCCTTCAGCTAAATATGAACAGTCTGTCTCTCTCTCCCTCCCCCCACCCTTTCTCTCTCTCTCTCTCCTTTCCCCTCTCTCCCTCTCTCTTTCCTTCCCTGCCCCTCTCAGGAAGAGATAGAGAAATAAACATCAATTGGTTGCCTCCCACATGCATCCCGACTGGGGACCAGCAACCAGGGTATGTGGAATTGAACATCACCACCTTTTGCTGTATGGAACAACACTCCAACCAATTGAGCCACACCAGCCAGGGCTCTTCATCTCTTTTTTGCCTTGTAGGGTAAATATCTGCCTGTTCTCACACACTCTCCATTAGCCTCAGCCTCTCCTCTCTGTAGATTATTCAGATGTGTACTATCATCCAAGTCAAGCAGGAAATTCTGCACTTAACCGGCTTGAGTAAATGTGTACTGAGGGGCAATTAGAGGGCTTGCTTTCAGAGAGGGAAGAAGAAACACTTTTGCTACTTTGTTTCACCCAAGACTTTGTTTTACTCTCACTTAACAACTCGGGATGTTTGACTCCTTTTTGACTGGGACGGGACATTATCAGGCTTTTTAAATATTTTGTGTTGACTGGCTGGCTAGTTCAATTGTCTCCTGATCCTACAGTCCCCTGCATACCCACATCAGGCCTGTAGGGGTCCTCAGACCTCTCTCTGAACCACTACACCAGGCTTGTCCTCTTTAGCTAACATTATCTTTTATTTAAACAGAAACAGTAGCCACCAATCTTGTTACATAACATACCAATATCCTAGGGTGTTACACTAATGTAATATCTACTGTTAGGGAGTGGTAATCTGTCAACACAAATATTCACTAGGAGAATATTTTGGAAACATTGTATTAGGTTTGACTTTCTGGCCCTACTTAGGATTTTGGAGCCGGAAGGAACTTTAGAGATCATCCTATTTCATTCTGCCTTTTATATGGTGAAAACCAAGGCCCAGAGAGACAAAAACATTTGCCCAAGAGGTGGCCCAAAAGGCTAGATAGAAATTAAGCTTTTGATAATCCAAAGAATCCATCACACATTCTTAGATTCAGGGTTTAAGTGTTAAACCTTTCTTTTTCATGATTTTTATCTCAAAAGCCTTTTTTTCTGTTTAAGACTTTGAAATTTTGTCAATTGTGAATAGTGACATGGTGCTCCTGCTTTTACTGAAGCTGCATAGTTGAGACTGATAAATATGTACAATACCGATGTATTTAAGGTAGCTTTGTTGTTTTTACTAACACTAGGGCTGGATTCACACCCAACCATGCAACTTATATTAACTGAATACAATTTGAATGCAATGTATATTAACTGAATCAAATAGATTTTAAACACAGCTGGGTGAAGTTTGAACCACCAGGGGAGCCACCCCTGTACCATTCTCATTTCTGGTCTCTGAGGAATTGCAGGAACCTCAGTGGCCAAGTGAAAAGGCTGGGCCGCTCTCTTCCCCTGACCCCTGCCAGCATTCTTTTTCAAACGGACCTGTTTTCCTGCTGGGAGGCTGCCCCACTCCACCCACCTGGTGCCTCCCCGAATTTCCTGACTGCCCTGGGCTTATTTTTTAACCTTCTGTTCCTTGAAAAGCACCACCCCACTGACCCAGAATGTGGGCTCCTCCCCTCTGGTCACTGACCCACCTACTCTCCCGGGGTTACCATCCCCGTCTCCCTCTAAAAGTCTTGGAAAATCAGCAGCAGTAGGCGGCTGAGCGCCAACCAATTTCCCTAAAGGCTCCTTCCTACTTGGAGCTCACCGAAATGGCCAGCAGAGAAGAGGGAGAACGGCTTGCTTCTGAGTAGGGCCTGGTTGGGCCGGGCTGGCACTGTCTTATTCAGCAGCCCCAGGATCTGAGGGCTCCTCAGTTACCTTCGGCTCTGGGTTAGGCATGGCTAAGGTGTAAGGAGAAAGTTACCATCTTCGGACCTCTAAGCAGAAGCACCGTAACACCTCCCTTCTCCCTACCCCAGGTTCTGGAAATCCCAGTTTTGACCTGGGGACAAATCCCAAACCCAAATAAAAGATCTCCTCCCAGGCGCTGAGAGCCCTCCCATTCTCATCACCCTCTCTCCCCGTTCCTCCGGCCAGTCGCCCGGGTTAGCCGAGTGCAGCCGCCTGAGCCTCGCGGGGCCAGACCCGTCAATCGCAACACTCCCCGCACCCAAGCCCGGCCAGGGCAGAGGGGTGGGGGGTGGGAGGTAGGGGAAGCGGGGGGCGGAGTTCCGTCCTTTCCTGATTGGCTCGGGGTGGGTGGCTGCGGCCGTGCCGAGCCAACCCGAGGCGTGTTGCTATGTGCTGAGCTGAGGGGATAGGCGCGGGGGCGCGTCCGTCATAGGGCAGCCCCCAGCCCCGACCCGGAGGGATGCAGAGTGGCGGCGGCGGCAGTGGCGGAGACTGTGGCTTTAAGAGAGCGCCCGGAGCCCGGGATCCGGCCGGGCGGTCCTTTGCTGCGGCGCATCCCCGTGGAGCCAAGCCTGGCGCGGGCCGGACGGTGCAGCTTGCAGCCGGGTAAGCAAATCGGGAGCGCGGCGCAGACCGAGCGCGCGTGGGCATGGGGCGCGCTGACAGCGTGAGCGCCGGGCACCCAGCACTGGGCACCGGTCCCGCGGCCCCTCCGGCCCCATCTCGCGGGGCGCGGCGCTCTCTGCCCAGCACGGCCGAGTCAGAATCCGGCGTGGGGTCTCCGTGGGGGCCACGGGCGCAGGGGGCGGGGAGCTGGCTGCCGGGGCCACGTGACCGGTTTGTTTACAAACACTGGCGGGCCCGCGGTGGCCCGAGGAGGGAGCCGAGGTGGCGCGGGGTCCTCGGGTCCGGGTCCGGGACGTATTCGGCGAACTGGGCATGTCTGGGGTGGCGATTGGGCCGAGGGAACCAGGAGACCCGATCGCTGCTTCTTTCTTAGCATAGTTCCGTGGGTTCGGGCTCCGTGGGGGCCAGGGCGGGGGCTTTGGACATTTCTGTCCCGGGAGAAGCTGACTGACTGCTGGAGACTCTGGGTCCTGGAGCGCCGTCCTCGGGGCCCCCGCCTTTGGGAGACTGGCCGCCTTCAAAACTCCCGGGAGGGAGCGCTCGGCCGGCCCGAGCCGAAGTGACCGCAGCCGAGTTCCTGCCTGGCCGCTTCCCGGCGCCTCCCCAGTGCCCTTGCCAAGGGGGTGGGCGCGAGTTCGCTCCTGCCCGACAGAATGTAGGGGCCTCTGCAGCGATTACCTCCCAGGAACTCCCTGCTTCAAGTTCACCCGCTGACCTCCTGTGGGTGTCTTTACCCAAGTGGTGGCTTTTCTCCTGTTGGGGGCTGGGGGAACCACCTGTTCTTTTGGACCCAGCCCAGGAGACTGCCACCTCCGACTGCACTCTCAGTTTACAATTGTTTCGAAAGGCAAGTGAGTGAGTGTCCTCTGTTTTTCTCGGGCTCTGCACGGGCTCCTGTGAATGGCAGGTGAAACTGCTTCAGGGCTCTGCTGGAGGGGGAGGGCGCTGCTTTCCGGCCTGCTGTTGGATTTGCTCTTCTGGAGTCTTAAGGCTCTTTTAAGTGAGCCCTTGCTTCGTCAGTCTGAAGGCTAACAAGACAGCTAGCTACTCGTCCTTTTTCCTTACCTTGCCTCCCTTTTTCTTCTCTTCAGATCCAGCAAGATATGCACGATGGGGCTCCCTGTCCTAGAGCAGTGGGCAAAAAGAGGAACTGCTACCCTGTACCCCACTTGCTCACAGGACATTAGCGGTTCAAGGAACCTGGGGTGGGGGTGGGGGTTGAGAAGTTAAGCGACTTGCCCAAGATAAACATGCCACTGGCTTGGGTGGGACTTGACCTCACATGCTTGATGCTAAGTGCTCTTGATTTTGAGAACTTGACCTTGTGATCAGTAGGATTGGATTCAACTTTCCCTGGCTTTCCTTTGACTTCATCACCAACACAGGACTTGCAGATGTGGGCTGAACCTGAATTGACTTCTTTCCATCGCAGTGGTTCTCAATCTTCCTAATGCCGCGACCCTTTAATACAGTTCCTCATGTTGTGGTGACCCCCAACCATAAAATTATTTTCGTTGCTACTTCATAACTGTAATTTTGCTACTGTTATGAATCGTAATGTAAATATCTGATATGCAGGATGTATTTTCATTGTTACAAATTGAACATAATTAAAGCATAGTTATTAATCACAAAAACAATATGTAATTATATATGTGTTTTCTGATGGTCTTAGGCGACCCCTGTGAAAGGGTCGTTTGACCCTCAAAGGGGTCTCGACCCACAGGTTGAGAACTGCTGGTCCATCGCTTCCCTCATTGCCTTAGCCCTTCATACTAACACTGAGTCTTGCCTTGGTGAGGAATATGTTAATTCTTCTGGACGGTGATATGAGTGGCTACAAGTTTTGTTCTTATCAAGGAACAGGCCCAGCCTGAGGAGAGTTGTGCCAACTTCCCTTTGACATTGTCCCTTGTCCCCAAGTCCATGATAAGGGTGTCCGATCTGAGTAGAAAGGGGCCTGGGCTCATCCCCCTCCCCAGTTCGGTTTTGCCTTGTCAGTTTAAGATTTGATAACGGCATTTCTGGGATCTGCCTTGGTATCTTGTCCTTGACCTGAAGTCACGCTTGGAGTTAGCGGTGGAAAATAGAAAATTAAACACCATGCACAAGAAGACCCTTTTCCTTCTAGGAGAGCGGTTTTCAAACTTTGAGTGGGGTCCACATTTTCTACATCCCAGGCTGTGATAAGTTCCAGGAAACAGTTGCCCTTACTACCTGCAGTGTACTCTACTTACAATTTTTGTCTCCTTTTTAAAAAACACACACACAAAACTGCTGGTCATGACCCATTAATTTGATTTCTTGACCAAATAGCTCAAGGCCCACAGTTTAAGAAACATTGCCCTATGGCAGAGGTCCTTAAACTTGATGTGCATAAAGATGACCTTGGTCATGTTTAAAAATGCAGTTGTCAGTCCACTCTGGTGATGTTTATTTTCAGCGGGGCACATTTTTAATAAGCGGGCCATGCGATTGTGATGCAGGTGGTTGATAAGAAACTCTGACCTAGTGGGGATTGCGGGCAGTGAACAATGAAAGGCATTAACTTGGGTGTGAAGTGTGCAACGCCTGAGTCAGAAATGTGACCCAGACTATGCAAACCTTAGTCTCTCATCTGCCTGTCTCAGAAGCCTATAGTGTTGTTTGCTTTCAGCCGCCATGAAACTTGGCCATAAGAGAAGAGATAGATGCCCCTTCCCTTCCCTTCTATCGCCACCCCACCCCATATGAGGGCTGCTGTTCTCTGTTCTGGGCCACTGGATGTTTTTAGATGCCTGGCGTTGGAGTCATGAGTAGTGAGGAGGACTTAGCTCTGCTATTCACAGATTGTGTTAAAATCATCACTGTTTTAATGGTTTTGAGTTAGCAACACAGTCATTGTGCCTTGGATGTGAACAAATGGCCGGCAGAAGAGGTTGATTTTGTTTAATATCTGGGTATTCCAGGCTCTGTAGTCTGGGGGAAGGGCAGGCTGATGGTTTTGTTTTTGTTTGGAGGTGGGGGGGTCGTGTCCCAGGCTTGTCTGTCAACAGTTGTTAATAAGAGGCACAGTTCCCCACCTCCTTGCCTTCCTTGGTCCTGGCTCTTTCCTGTGGTGACAGCTCAGGCTCCTGTCTGCATGTGGATTTGTTAGTCATTCAGTTTCTGATGCTGTGACCTCTATCTCTACCTTCGAGCACAAACATACACAGATCTGATGCATTCACATGTTGGCTGTTTCCCTCTTAGTTACTGTATCCAAACATGTTGGTAAAAGAAATTTCCTTGAATTAAAGCTGCCATTTAGCTTCAAAAAGAACTAAATTATCCAAATTTAAATTCAACTGTGGTCCTTCCTGCCAAAGGTATGCCTTATATGGGATTGCTAACTGTAGGATTGTTGACATTAATAATGCTCAGTTTTGGTCAAGCAGGCCACACTGAGAATGTTTTGAGCCAATGGAAAAACAGAAAGCAACAAAAGGCTGGCAGTGGATAGGATAGGATATCCTAGGCGAGGAAAAGCAGAGGGGAGAGATGTTCAGGTGCCATTCAAATGGAGGATCAGGATCAGTTTCCTTTCTATATCATCTTGGCACTTCCCTAGGGTCTGTGGACCAAAGCACTGGATGCTCTGAAAATTGCATTCTTAGCCAAGTGAGTATTAAGCTCTGTATTTTTGAACTTGCACCTTCAGTGATGGAAAGCCAGGGCCTGCAGGCTAAAGGTGTTTTGTTAGAGTTGATAGAGTGATATTATCCTTAACAAAATAAGGTGATGGTACTTGACTTTCATCCTAAAGAACCAAACCTACCTGAATTTCACTGGGAGTGGTGAATGTAACTTTGGGAGGTTGGGGGTGGGGGGAGGGGAGGTAAAAGTAAATTGGATTATGCTCCTCCCCTGTTTACAACTTTTCAATCGTAATCCAACTACTTTCTCTGAGGCCCTCCTCTCTCCCCTAACCTCTCCCACCTTATCTCCTACCAGCCCTCACCTGGTCGCCTCTGCTTCACTCTGGTCCAGCTGCAGGTGGTTTGTTTTTGTCATTGGGCCTTTCCTACTGGCAGTGCCTCTTTCCAGAATGCCTTTCATCCAAATTTCTGCATGATTGGCTTCTCTCCCCTGGGTCTCGGAGAGCCCTACCCTGACCAGTTATCTAGAACAGCTCCTCTCCTCCCTGCCCTTTAGCCTTTCTTAAACCCCTGGTATGGAGTAGCACTGGCTAAAATCATCTGTGTTGTTGGAGTGAATGAATGAATGACGAAAGAGCCAAGGTTGAGTCTCTAAGAGTAGGAAATAGTACTTTATTTTCAAGAGAAGAAGATATAAAACAACACAAGCATTTCTACCAGTAATCACATTTCATTGATACTAAGAGACATTATAAGTAGGGTTAAGAAGCCTGGGCTTTGGAACCAGAAAAATCTGAATAATTATCACTGTGATCTTGGGGCAGTTTGCTAAAATTCTCTAAATCTCTGTCCCTTATTTGTAAAATGGGACTAATAATAGTTACTATCACACAGGATTGAGGGGAGGATTAAATGAGAGAATGCATGGAAACCAGCTGCAGAGCCAGCCCCCTGAGCACCTGGTGTTAATAGCTAGATTCTCCCTCTCTGACTGGCAGGAGTTCCCAAAACATTGATTTGAGAATGGGCAGTAAGAGGTAAAAACTACAAAATTATCGACATAAGAATGCGTCAACCTAAGAGTTTATGTGAGCCAATCTAAGGAAGATTGCACGAAGGTGGGAGAAAGCAAGGCTGGGATTCGATTACAGGGCAGTTAACAAGATTATGTGCTCTCTTGAGGGTGGTTTTTCCAAGGTATGTTGACCTAGATGCTCAAGAACAAGGGGGCTAGGGTTTGCTTAAGGCAAACATAAACCTTTTACTAAAAAAGGTACCTGTCTGAGGTGTGACTACCTTCCATGACCTGTTAGAAATTTAAGATGAGATCACCCTGTGAGGTTACTTTTCAGAGAACCCCTT